AGACCAGGCATGTCCAAACTCAGGCCCCCGGGCCAATTGCGGCCCTCTGTGCCACTTTATGTGGCCCTCTTCTGCTAACTCAAAGTTGCCATTGAGGTACTTTAACAGTGTCATCCAACCAACTTCAGCTCCACCAACACAACCCATACCTTGTTGTAAATCCTCTGAAATCCATTCCGTGACTCTATTGTTATGCAGTGACATTTGTTTTATGATTGTGTCACAACATTTCAAATAAAATGTAGCTGTGGTGTGAATCAGTAAGGACGTTATATTTATTTTATTATACATTTTAGAATCAATCCAATCAATCCAGTAAAATAAATAAAATAAAAAGGGCACACACACACTAAAAGGCATGTAATTGTAAGTCATTGCAATTGTCTAATATATATTTCCATCCAGATTATCTATCCGTTACAGCTGGGAAGGTCTGTATGTTATCATCGGCCATACAATCAACACATTATACCCTCTTTAAACCCCCCTCCCTCCAAAATCTCTGACTTCTCGTCTATTTTGAGGAGACTGCATCACTTGTGTGGCCGTACTCAAAGTCCTTACTATCTCTGCAGTACTGTACCATATTGAAAACACATCATATATGCAGTGAATGTACTTTGTTTTACACCATTTTTAAACATGGGGCTCACATGACACAGACTTCTGGATATATCTGTTATCTAACGGCCGGAGCCACATGAGCAGAGTGGTGCTGCTGCGGTGCTGATAGAGGTTACTCTGCTGAGACCTGCTGTTACTAGAGGTTACAACATGTTTTATGTAATGCAGCCTTTTATTCTGCTAGGAATTGGTGTGATGCATTGGCATTACTCTGGCTATAGTCAATGTTTGGTGAGTTGAAGGGCAAAAGAATGTGTTTGTGTTGCTTTAAGAGATGCTTTACTTGTCACACATGGGGAAATGTCAGTGTTGCATCATCAGTTACAGAACAGTAGGAATGAGGAGCACACATCACAAGATAAGTTAACAATTACTCTATACTAAAATAAAATAATATCTCTAGCTTTAGCATTGAAGAAGATGACAAAGTCTGGGATCGCGTCTTACATTCAGACAGAAGACATGTTTTATTGTCGATGGTAGAGACAGCACGATCAAAGCACACGATCACAGAAACAATAGAATGCAAGTGTATTATACAGAGCGGAGGCATGGAGACCTCCAATCAGCAGCTTCCACGGTGTGCTTGTAGCTTGGCCTTCAGATAGACAAAACAAGGGAAAAGTACTGGCTTCTGCACATTGATAGAATGATGAGTTTAACTTTAACAAAAGTTGCTTCAAAGTGTTATGAAATCTCACAGCATAATAAATAAGCAAGATTAAAATGTCTAGCTTGATCATAGTAAATAAGCAAGAATATCTCCAAATTTAGCTCAACAAAGAAGCAAGAATCTAGTTTAAAATCTCCAAATTTAGCTTAATAAAGAAGCAAGAACTGAGTATAAAATCTCTGACTTTCATATTAGTTGCAGCTTGTTTTCATGTGTCGCGCTAATGTCTCACACTCAGCGGGTCGTGGGGGGGTTTACAAGTTTCTCCTTGTGTCTCTGAATTTTCTCCAGATAGTTCTCAAAACATGATCTTGAGAATGGATATATCTGGACATAGGTCTGCGGACGATAGTGACCACTGCTTCTGACAGGTCGCAATCGGACCTTGGGACATTGGAAGGATAAATGCATAGGAAGATGTTGTAATGTGGTGTAAAGTGTAAATGGTAAAGTAAATAAACATAAAACTGAGCTTAAACTTACTTAACAGAAACACTTTAAACTACAATAGTATATAATAAGTGAAAATGTAGTTGTAGCTTTGTTTGTAGCTAGGATCTTTACACTCTGTATCTGCACACATTAAGCATGCTTCATTTGCTTGCTCTTGGCCACACAACTTCCTCTCTGATTTAGAGAAACTGGCACCGCACTGACTCTATACGAAACTACACTGTTGGTAAATAGTTGGCAGGATTTCCCCATGAAGTGAAAACACAACTGGGAAAATACTAAAGATTTCTCTTGTACATTCAGTACACACGTCTCAAAATCACACACATTGAACACCTTATGACAAAAATTGCTATGATTTTGAAAACAAACAAAACATTTAAATTAAAGCCGCAAGCGACATCGAACGGCCCCCTCAGGCAGCGCCGCATCTGCTGAAGGAGATGGCGCTGATGCATCATGATTCTCATTGTACTGCATATTGTCTGTGAGGGTACGTCTCCATTGAATGACAAAAGCACTTTCATACATTACAAGGGCAATCGCTAACAACAACAACACCGCTAGCTAACTGTGATGTCCCACTTCTGTAGGTGATGTGCAGCGAGTTTGAGCCCCAGGGGAGGCACTGGAGGAGGAGTCAATTCAAGTATAAGCTGTAAATTCCATATAATTCATTTTAATTTTTTCGTTACGGTAAACAAAAAGGCATGGATAGCTAAACTATAGGGACAGCTAGGGTTTTTAAGAAGTATAAGCATATGGAAAGAATTAAGATCCCCCTGTAGGTGGATTGTCAGTAAACTTTGCGATTATATAAACTTGCGTATCAATACAGTTTCTATCAAGATGTGCATTATTACGACTGTGAAAAGCATAAATCAGCAGCTTCTGGGACTTCTAGACTATGCATTGTCGTGGCAATCAAGCAATTTTCACATCTTGAATAATGGGAATGGTCCACCCAAGCTCCTTCAAATTAGGAAGTAATCATTGGCTATTCATGAGTACCCAATACCATGAATACTCCCCATTATGGAGACACAGCCAAAGCAATCCTCTGATACAAATTCCAGCACTTCTATAATAAGTAAACATATTTATTCAACACTATTCCGAGACGGACCGCTCAGAATGAAAATCCCACTTTTTATAGTTGGATAGTGGGAGCTTAAGTGGAATTTCAGCAGCAAACCCTCGTAAACACAACACACTGAGCTGTTACTTCTATATATAGCTTAGACTTCACAAACAGCATTCTGGCTACTATTACACATCAACAAGCAAAACAAGCAGAGAGGCAACCACGCGCTCCCAGGCTGTCACATGCGCCTATGCATAACACAAACAGAACACATATTGTCCATGCGTCATAAGGTCGCACACAGAGACCAGCATTCATAGTCACTGGTGTCAATCACACGCCGATTTTTGGTGACTATTTTGCTACTCAGTGCAGTGTTTGAAGAAGCCATATTATCTGCCTAAATCGCTTCAACACACATGCAATTTTCAGCCACCAGCCTAATAGCCCACTCAGCCACTGACAGGAATAATGACAGCCATAGCAGCAGAGCACAATGAGTCCATATTAGTTTAAATGGAATGCAGTTTAAATAATTGGCAAATGTATGATCCAAAAGGACAACAGTGAAAGTGTCAAAGCTGTGAAGAAAAAGGTGTGGATCAGGTGATGTTGCAGTGGAAAGGGAGGGGGTGGGAGGGGGGGGGTACAAAGAGGCTCGTGTTGTGGTTAACAGATGGAGATATAGACACCCGTGTGGACGTGTGACTCTGGTCCATAGACGTGAGACAGTGAGTAGGACAATGCTGCCCTCTGCTGTGGAAAATGTGTCAATGACTTAACAGGGTGCATTTGAGGTAAAACATGAAGGTTATAGCTTCAGAGAAACAGACATTGTGAGCTGCAGTAAGTAGCATATTCATTGTTTGTTTCTTTTTTTTCTTAGCATTCTTGGAAATAGGAAATAATGTATGCAATAGTTAATTATTCCAATCTCTGTCCAGGAAGACTAGAGACCAGCCAGATCAGAGAGATATCCTAGAGACAGACAAGTGACCAGAGAGGCCAAAGAAAGACATTTGCATTATCAGTGGACACATTATGATACCTTAACATTACTACAGTATTGCAGTATAGCCTAAAACTTATATATTTACATGAAAGGGATGAAAATCAATTGTATGTACAGTATATACTAGAATTTAAAAGGAGCAGTTGCTCTTACTGGTTTATGAACTCATTGACTGCCATTGACGTATTTTTCTGAGACCGGTGAGTGGTGTCAATCTACCCTCTATTCCACTAGGGATAACAGGAGAACAAAACTATCTTGTAACAAACTTATTAATGCAGATGGAAGTAGACAATCCAGTCTTTCAGAATCTGGTTTCATATTTTACATAGTCAGAACACACAATATTCTGTGGGTCATGAAAGTCAGTGAAATCATCAAAAAACGGCTGGCAGTCAATGAGTCAAGGAACTTCAACTACAAATCATAGGTTGTCTAAAAGAGGAGCTGCAGGTGCTGCTGTTTAGTGAGGGATAAAATAACTGAATTCCACCAAAATTCATGTGAGAGCGTCATGTGAGATAAATACTGCATTCTGTTTGGAAACTCCACTTGAGAGCGTCTCGAGTTCTGACATGTAGACATGAATAACTGAAGATAAGTTTAACATAATTTATTGAACAAAGTATGGAATTTCATGTATAAACTTGCACAGTATAAAATGTTTGAAAAGTACAAAAACACAGTAAATAAAACAGTACATTTAGATTTTAGCAAATATCTTGAATATCATAATATATATTTCTTCACTAACAAAACCAATATTATTTGCAATCCTAAGACTTCTGATACCTCAATTTTGGGATTCATTTTTTTTTTACTCAAGTTGGACTTTAGTAATAACAAAGACTGCTGACACAACAATACAATAATAATCATAAAAAAATAACAACTACATACATGTAACGCATGCCCCAAGAAGCTTTACAGTAAAACTTTGAAATGAAAACAGGTTGAATACAACACCCATGCTGCCTTCATGATGCTCCTCTGTGTCACAGCAACGCCATAAGTCAGGACACAGCTTCACGTATGAAGGATTTAATACCGGATGTAATGCTTGTATGAATATGCTACATTTCCAATGCATAATAAAAGTCCAGCATGTGGTGCAAAGGTACCGTCAGTTTGGCTGCTGTAGAAGTCCGCGAGCTTCAAGAACGTTTGAGCTTATCAATGTGGAAGGTGAGTTTGAGGGCGGGACCCAGCTTTAAGCCCATGTATTTCATCATCGTGTCACTGCGTAGCAATAGAAGGGCGTTTCCATCAATCTCCTGCGGCAGACAGCAAAACAGCTTTTAAAAAGACATGCTCTGGGACTTTACGAGGCTGATGGGACGCCCAGCAGAGCCACGATTACAACAGGAAAGTTATTAGATAAAGGGAAGACATGGGTACTACATGAAAAATGCAAAGTTAAAGGAGCAGTATGTTAAAATCTGACCAACAATGGTACTGCACTCTCCCTGACTCAGGTTGCCAGATATGCAGACGAATCCAGCTGGGACCATATTAACTGAATAAAGAGATTTGTCAACAAAAAATCTAAAACCAACACCTTTATCACAAAGACAGAAATCCTGGTTTTATTCTTTGTTTTGTCGTTAATGATTTGAGAATCATAACGAGACCTTTTTAGTTCTGCGGCCACATGGTACTTTACCAGTGAGATTAAGGGTGTATTCAGACCGGAAAAGTCCTTTGCTCCGCTTGCTTGATCCGAATCAAAAGCTGACCAAACTTTTTTCTTTTGCTCCGGTTCGTATTCAGACTGTCCTTTTTGCAAGTGAACTTTTTTATATAAACATATTGACACGTGTGACGATCGGCGCTCCTATTGGACAGAGAGAGCGCACGGAGGATAGACGCGGAACCGGCAGAAAACATTGAGGGTTCGTATGTGCAGCATGTCTGCTCTGCCTATGTTTGCTCTTTTTAGAGCAAAACCACCTTCAACATCAACAGCAGCTCATATGACACAGGCCAAACACGTTGTTTTAAATATTGGAACAGAGTCGGAGAATGCGTGAGGAGAAAGCCAAAGGAGACTGTCTGTGCGCTCCGTGTCCTGTCCCACACATGGATCTATGATAATAACGGCCCTGTTCAGCATTGTGGATAAACCATGGATCTATAATAACCACGGGACAAACAGACGCTGAGGATCAGAAAGGAACCAAAGAACACAATTCACTACATGATGGGGAATATTGCTTTTTGAGACGTGAGTCAAACAGTGTCAGGCTTTTAATAATGCAAATGGTTTGAAGATGCTGCCATTAACATCAATGTATACTGTGAACAGTTTTAACTCCATAAGTCTGTTGCACAGCGTCTCCTCACTGCTCCAGGTCTGCACACGGCTCATTGTTTTGTGTAGCGTTAGCAGCATAGTTAGCCGCTGCATGGCTAAAGCCTAGTTTATACTCGCGCGGCGCAGAGCTTACGGAGGTGACGTGACGTCACTTGCGCAACGCGTTGGTCACCGCAAGGCCCTTACGTCGCCTGCCGCGCAGCATCGAAATTTTCTAACTACGTAAGGGTCGCCGCAAGGAAGCTCCGCTGTGATTGGTCCGTGAGTGTGTATTGGAAAGAAGCACGGAGCGGCTGCAGCAGGAGCATGGAGGAGGCATTATGGAGCAGAGAGATTTGTGCTTCGAAGGAAAAGCAGTTTGGGCTCAGAGCCTGATATACAGGAGACTGTGGACTATCTAACATATATATAACTTATATCTAACATATATATAACTTATAAACTGTGCAGACGTTTGTTTTGCACTGTTCCTGTCTTGTTTGAATCGTAGCTGCGTTTGTTGCTTTCCTCCTGCACTCGTAAATTGTTCATGTTTGTCTCAGATATTTACCACTATTATTGTTTTGCCGTTTGTGCTGAAAACTATTTAATAATAACTATGTTTTCAACAAGAACTCTGTCTTTATTCACAGCATCACAGTTAAATGACTTATAAAATAATGAATCCATAAAACTATCACATAAACCTACAGTAGAAACACGTGTAATGAGCTCAAACAGCTTTGTTTGTTATTATTGTTCTGAAGAGGACAAAGTAGCAGCGTAAATGGGACCGCTCCTGTGTGATCGCCCTCATGTGGTTTGTTGTGGGATTACAACATTCTCCTCAAAACTCCGTAAGGGGAACGCGCCAGTATAACATCAATTGTGCTTACGTAGGTCCACCGCAACCGCTAACGTAAGCCACGCCGCGCAAGTATACACTAGGCTTAATTCCTCAGTTTCTGTCTGCGCCTTGTTAAGCCCAAAAAATGCGCACGTATCTTGGAGTTGTGTCGGATCGACACCGGATGTATTCAGACCTGATTCGACTTGGACCAGAATTTGTTTGGAAGACCACCTAAAAAAGTGGGTCTCGGTTCGGTTCTTTGGTCCGGACCAGGATTTGTTTGTGTGTATTCAGACCTGCATAAAAGCTTCGGATCAGAGTTCCAAACGAATCCTGGTCCGTTTAAAGTGGAGCAAATGTGCAGGTCTGAATACACCCTAAAGTGGAGCAAATGTGCAGGTCTGAATACACCCTAAAGTGGAGCAAATGTGCAGGTCTGAATACACCCTAAAGTGGAGCAAATGTGCAGGTCTGAATACACCCTAAAGTGGAGCAAATGTGCAGGTCTGAATACACCCTAAAGTGGAGCAAATGTGCAGGTCTGAATACACCCTAAAGTGGAGCAAATGTGCAGGTCTGAATACACCCTAACTCAACGCTGTGAGATCTGGCGACCCGGATCACAGACTTTCTGATTGGTGAAACAATGGAGGGCAGGACATCGAAATGAAAACAATAACAAGATCTAGGGGCTGTAAAACTAATTTAGAACTCCAAATATCTCGGCTAAACTGTTTACTGTTATCAGTTAAAGAAGTATTGGAAAAGAGCAGGTTTTATCAAGGCGTTTTGACAGATTAGGGCCATTTAATGATGACTTGACATGAAAATCTTACATATTGCAACTTTAACAAAACCTTAGATTGTTATTTTGTCAATGAATGAAAAGCTGGTTCAGATGTGGTAGACACTGTGATAGACACTGTGGGTGTGTGTGTTCAGAGTCTGAGCACTACAGCGTACGTACATGTTTCCTGAAGAGCTCGGCGTGAGGAGCCAGCACCGGGTCGATGTCTCTGATGTACTGCGTCACCTCCTCCACGGTCCACACGCTGGGGTCCTGACCGCTGGGCTTCGGGCTCTCCCTCAGGCTGCCTGAAGTCACAAGTAATATATAAAGTTTGTCTGCCCTGCTCTGAAGACCCAAGTAGTTGAAAAACATTGGTGTCGCGTGAAAATGGAGGATTTCTACTTTTCTAATATTTCTTGTGATCTTAATCTTTGTTTATATGTATATGTAGATTTTAATGTTTAGGATTTCTTTGATGTGATGTGAGTTGTGAGGCGCTTTGTGTTGCCTTGTGTGGAAAAGGCACTCTACAAAAAAAAGTTGCTTGATCTACTCGGTTGTGCCTCGGACCTTCTTTTTTCCCATCACAATACTGTATATAAAGTTATCTGACATTTATCTATATGAAATTATCACAACATCTGAAAGGCTTTATCTGAACAAAAATTATGTTCCTAGGCTCACAGTGGACCAAACATCTGAGAGTTATGGTTCACCTGTGGAGTTGTGGTTGTGCGTCTGTTTGGAGGGAGACCCGAGGCCCGACGACTGCACGGCGGAGGTTTGAGGCGGAGGACTTTTCTTCATGTGCGACTCATCTATGAACGTTCACATACATTTTCTTAGAGCAAGTAAAACAGAACGCCACAGTTTGGATTAGTTACTTAAGTCATGATATATATCTGTTAAGAGATATAGTTATAAATAACATTCTTTGAGAGAGTCAAATCCATTTACTTTAGTATAGCTCAAACTGTACAGTCACCTGGGAGCAGACTGGACTAGATCTCACTCAACTTGACATTGGACCTGCACCTTGTGAATTTAAACTTGAACCAGACTTGAGAGTGAAAACTTGTGAATTTTATATTTATCTAGGGTTAGCCAAAGGTGGGAACAGTGTTTTTGTTTCAACACATTCCCCTCACTTCATACTCTGTACATAATTAGCACTACATAATACTACAAAACTAGAAGAAGTTAGCAACTTTTGTGTAAGTAGTAGTAAGTAGTAAGTAATCTTTATTGATATACCGCCTTTCACAGACCAGAGTCACAAAGCGGTTTAGAATAGTTATTTTTTGGGCATTTGTTTCTCACTCCACACAAAGATGGGAGCAGGGTCGCCGAACAGGAGGCGCATACCCTGGTTGGGGAAAACCGGAGTACCCAGAGGAAACCTACGCAGACACGGGGAGAACATGCAAACTCCACTCAGAATGGCCCTGTTCTGACCGGGTTTCGAACCCAGGACCTTCTTGCTCAGAAGCGAGAGTGCTATCCACTCAGCCACAATGCCGCAAATTTGTGCAAAATTTCTGATAATACAAAGTATTTATTGAAAGTTTTGTAATATGAATTAATCTGAATGCTTTATTATTTGTTTGTGTAAAACAACGTATGTGTCCTTAGAATGACTTGATGATAAAGAGAATATTACAACAGAATGACTTGACTCGAGTGTGACTTGGACTTGTTTTTTTCCAGAGATGAGAAGATGCTTAAAGCTGTTCTATTCCAATAAGAAAATGGCACTATACATAAATCTACTGACACAGCAAGTAAATAAAAAGGTGGTTGTCTGACTATGACTGACCGTCTGTGGAATGGCAGAACATTTTGGGAAGCTTGTGTGGAACTGATCTGTGATAGGGCTCTTGAAGGAAGCGCTTGCCCCGGTCTGGAACAGCCACAACGGTGTTCCCGAAAGCTCTGCGTTCTGCAACGTGACATCAGAAAACAGAGTATTACGATCAGGAATTATATATGGTACAGTATATTTCATAATTTCATAAAACAGAATGTGTACAGACTTACATTTAAGGTTATCCCCAATCACCAATCCTAACATAGATCCTAACATATAACCTGTGGGATTAAGAGTATGGACTGCACCGCTAAATGTACTATACAGATAAACTTGACATTGACAATGCATTGCACCAAATTCACATCCACAATATATGATGGTATTCAATGGTTGCAATGTTAAAAAAAGGCTCTTGACCATTTCTCTCTGGCAGAAGAGGGAGCAACATCGCTGTTTTGAGAAATGTTTCCGGTCGCTCTGACATAAAAAGAAAATTCATAAATAAATAAAATAAATACACTAATAATATAACCTTGTATTCACTATCAATTTTTATGTTTGGACTACATTTGGGGTACTCAATAAGATTTTTCATTGCCCTCAAAGTTTGATTCCAAAGAGAGTGCTGGCCTTTCCCAAACCAAATCAACTCTTTGTTATTATTTAACAATACAAAACATATCCACAATTTAGCTTGTTTTTCCTCATTGTGAAACATATAAACTCTTTGAAAACATGTGACCTAAGTTCTAATGTTTATAATGACCGAATTAGTAAGCGACTACTAAACCACTACATAACCGTGATAACTAGTGGACAGAACAAGTTGCCTTCAGGATTTACACTTAAATCACTGGGCTGTGTTGTGCGAGAGTCCGCGGACGTGAGTACCTCCTCTGGCCACGGGCTGATTCCCAAACAGCGGGTCGCAGTGGAGGTTGTGACACAGCTTCTCCAGGAAACGTAGAACATAGGTGACGCTGGTGACCGTGGGCAGCGTCAGGGTGTGCTGCTGCTGGTCAAAGTAAGCTGAAAGAGACAGACCAGAGAGAGGCCGCTGTGGTTACGGTGAGAACTCATCAGAGGTCATGGGACAGGGATCGTCACTGTCCCACCCGCCGCCTCAGATCCACAGACTCCGACCTCCTCACTCCCCTCAGGACTAACTACGAACCTTGGGGGGGGGACCTCAGACCATCAGAAACTCCAACTCACTACATAACTTTAAATCAGGTCTCAAAACCCACCTGTTTCACCTTGCGTCTGTGACTGTCCAAAAAAGCGCTATACAAGTTTGATGTATTATTATAATTTTTTTGGGGAGATTTCATGACACTTGGAAGCAACTGTGGTTAAAGTTAAACGCTAAATGTTTTGGTAATCTCAAGGCCGAAACCACCGGCATTGTGGAGAGTGCTGATTGGACTGTCTATGATTCTTCCAGTATAATATTACTTGCATTGTGTGAATCTCTCTTGCCCCATCGACAATAAAACATGTCTTCGGTCTGAAAGATACGATCCCAGACTTTTGTCATTTTTCTTACTTATTATTATTAACGTGCATAGATGATGATGAGAACAGGTCTGAAAATGTACCTGAAATGACTTCTCCTCCCTGGCCAGACTTGAGGCAGGAGAACACGGAGCGCTGGTTGTGAGCCGAGTCCACACAGGCCTGGACACACTGCTGCAGGACTGAGGAGGCCCGGCCCGGCCCAAAGTGGTCCGGAAGGTGCTGAATCCGCCGCGAGTCTAAGTGAGGACCCGCTTTGCCGTACTTGTTCAAATACACGCACACTAAAAGCAAGAAAGAGAATGAGACGAGCTACCGTGGATTTTATCTCCTTTTCCCTCGTTTTATCCACTAACTGTTGTTTATTTAGAGTGATATATGCTCATTAATCAATGTTATATTCAAGATAATGAGACTTTTTTCATTTTAAAGTATTCATTTAGTTCAGGAAATAGCTCAGATAAGTACGGGAAAGACAAATACAGTGAAGTCATGTCTACATAATGGATTCAGCAGTGTTTGTATATGAAAATGAATGTGTTGGTTGCTACTAAAGGGGTCTAGGGGTGATCTGTGGCCAAAGCCGTTTATTATTGCAAAGTTTGACTGGTGGTTTGAGTCAATTGAAATGGCTAATGACGGATAGTGAAAAAGAAAGTAATGCCAGATGCCAGGTCGCTTTGATTTCACAGCCAAACAGGGGGTGGGTGCAAATGCCAATGCACTAATTCAATATTGGAAAATGTTACAGGTTATAAAAGGAAGAAGAGGAAAACATGGATACAGAGACAACTAATTTTAAAATCAGTGGTTATTTTTGTGTATTGACTTTTTGAATCAAACCAATACAATGATGATTGCGCTGATTGTATTGATTATGCTTCTTTGTTTTAGGTTTTTAAGATAAGATAAGATAAGATGAACCTTTATTAGTCTCACAGTGGAGACATTTCAGAACAAAATGAGTGCAGTTTACCAAAGATCAAAAGGCAAGGGTTTGTAGACTGACCTTTAGATTAATAAATGTAAACACTACATTAATAATTGCGTTTATTGTTTATAGTAAAAAACTCTGGTAGCGTATTGACCGGATTGTGACGAGGTTAGGGCTGAAAATTTCACAAACGTAAAAGATCGGCCAGACTTTGTGTATGTACTGTGATAAAGTTGGACTAAAGCCTCATACGTCCTTAAATGTTTCTTCAGAGATCATAGTATTTGTGAATGTGTCCGGGTCGTGCACCTGTGGGGGCCTGAAGAGCAGAGTTGGGGATAGTGGCGTTGTCCAGAGGCACGGTGCTTGTGTCGGGCTCCGGGGTGCAGCTGGTGGGGGACGTGGGGTCTGGATTTGGCATCAAACGAGGCTTCCTCTGGTAAGAATAACAAAACAACTTCAATATAGAAATGTCCATGATGAATATTGAGGATGTTCGGCTTTGCAAGTTTTTCCCTGGGTCAATGAGAGGTCTGACTGTAGCCATTTTGTATTTCCTATTGTGCTATTACTTTGTAGACATTTATCATCCTGATATGTGACACAGGGCGGAAAACAAATAAAACAATCATTTGGAAACATTAGAAAGATGACCTGTGAATACTGCACGTCTGCAATTACATGAAGGACTTTCACCTTGGTGTACAATAAAGGGGAAGATGCAAATCAATATACCAACTTTAAATGTATTTTGACTATTATGTCAAAAGTCTTGTGTATAATAATAATATTAATAATAATAATATAAATTAAACTATGAACCAGTTTTCGCTGTGATCTTAATAAAGAATGAGGCGAATTGAATATAACATTATGAGAGGAAATTCTACCCTTGGAAACTTTCATTAATATAAAAATGAATTCAGGAATTGATTATTTCACTAAATTATTCATCCCTAAAATAAATGATTTAAAAATACCAGAAACTGTCCAAGGAATGACTATAATTGAAACAATAAATATAATAATAATAAAATGATCAAGTTTGTCGCTCACTCAGCTTGTTTGAAGCATCATGTTTGAATACAATCTTTAAACTTTAACTGTTCGAGTCCCTTAGAGTTTTTCTTTTCTTTCGTCTTAAGCAATAAGTGTTTATTTGCATGGAGTTCATGTGTTTGGTGATATCGGTACCTTGCTTCCTGGTTTTGGGCCTCTTTTCTTTGGGATCTTGACAGCGAGTGCCTGAACATGGGACTGCTGCAGTGCTATCCTCTGGGCCCAGTTGGTGGGTATCCGTCCCCTTGGTCTCCCCAGACCAACAGACCGTCCTGGTCCATTCAGGATGACATCTTCAAACCATGCTGCTCTTTTGGTCCAAGCAAGCTGCACATGAGGTCATTAGTAAAGAAAATAAAAAGTAGTCAAACTTTTAAACTCTTAATATAAACAGAACATACTCTACTGCCAGGTTTTGGCCCTCGTTTCTTGGACATTTTCACTGGGACCAGATCTGTACATGGCTCTATGCTCTGCGGTCCCAGGGGTGCCCTTGTAATGGCCTTTTTGCGTCCCGGTCTTCGGCCCCTCTGGCCTGGAGGTCTGCCCACCGTAGGACTGGGAGCCATCGCTGGACCGTCTACACCGCTGTCTGTTGGAGCTCGCAGGCTCTTCAGCAACACAACTAGAATATGACAAATCAAAACAATATGGAAGCAAATATTACACCACTGTATGTTCAAAGGCACACTCACAATAGGGCTTTTGAACCGCCCTGTGCGTCCCCACACACGAGCCCAAGCTAAAGCCTGCTGACATCATCATAAGAATCCATCTGTAGTCAAGAAAATAAACTTAATATTGAGAAATAGCTGCAATATATTGAGACACCGAGGCTGATGCGATACGCCTCTGCGATAAAGTCAGGGTTTGGATTCAACACATTTGCAGAGCAGCCAGGATCAGCAAGGATCAGCCTGGGTGGCGGGAGGAAGGACTTACAAACTTGTGTAACAATAGAGATGAGTTATTAAGCCTGCGTCAGGAGCAGTTTATTCATTGCTTCATGTGAAATATGAAGAACGGTGTGTTATTTTGAGAGGATTAGTCCTGCATCTTCGAGTTGGCACTGGTTCACATACAGTAAGGAGTGTATCTTTTCATGTGTGTCCTCATGAGAATGTGTCTGTACGTGTGCCGTTACCATCCTTCATCGTTTGCAGTGTGTGTGTCTATGTGTGTTTGGTAGACATAGATCGTTGCCTAATGTAGTTACAGAGTCATGATTATTAAGCCCATCTTAGATATTGTCTATTGACATTAAGTGCGTTTAGGAGAACTACAAACTACATTTCAGTTGGATGTTATTGGATATAATCAAATCAAATCATTGAAACTACTGGAAGAACAAACCTGCAAGATGTTTCATAGAAGTTCAAATTGATGTTCACACAAAGGTAGGGTACTTCAAAAATAGTTTTAAAAGAAACGAATTGTGCAGAACAGAATAGAAAATGTAAAAGACTAAGTTTAGTTCTTTACGACTCACTTTGACATTGACTATATACTTGAAATTAACTTCCTCTTACCTTAAAATGTGTAAGAGGAACATTATTATTTGAATATTTGCTAACAATTGCTTACAAGCACAGAGATAGAATTTGTAATTACAGCCACCAAAAAACCACACTCTGTTTTTCCACTCTCAGCTGAGGACTGGGTTCACCAGGTTCACTAGACTGAGCTTCCACACTCATTAAAAAGAAGATTACTTGTTTTCCATGAATCATCAATGCTATATTTCTGCATTTCTGATTTTACTCACCATGTTGGCTGTTGTGCTCTGCGGTGTCCTGACGTTCACCTTTCCCTGTCCTCTTTCAACTCTCCCACCACTTTGCTCCTCCTTCCTTTTATGTTCCTGTTCTCTCCACCTCCTCCCATCTGCTCAGAGTGTAAACCTTCCAGCTTTGACAGTGCCTGTCTTTTCTCTTCTTTCTCTCTCCTTTCTTAACTCGTTTCAGTACAAGTTTTCTAAGCGGACCCGGGTCGACAGCTGCTAACAGGAGGCCTAGAGCGGGGCCAGGCTCTCAAACCACGTCATGCTCGGTCCCAGCCAGTTGGCCGAGCTCCAGACCTTCATAAAACAACAGCAGCTAGCAAGGCCCTCTCCAATCCAAGGCTTTTCTCAAATCTCTCACATTTAAGACATAGTGGAAGTAGTGCATTCATATTTATAAGTAAGTAAGTAAGTAAGCTTTATTTATATACCGCCTTTCACAGACCAGAGTCACAAAGCGGTTTACAATTGTTATTTTTTGGGCACTTGTCTCTCACTCCACACAGAGACAGGAGCGGGGTCGCCGAACAGGAGGCGCATGCCAGACCTATTGTACATATTTTTAGTGGTAGGGGAAACCGGAGTACCCGGAGGAAACCTACGCAGACACAGGGAGAACATGCAAACTCCACTCTGATAGGCCCTGGTCCGGCCGGGATTCGAACCCAGGACCTTCTTGCTGAGAGGCGAGAGTGCTATCCACTCAGCCACCGTGCCGCTGAGTGGCACGGTGGCTGAGTGCCACTCAGCCACCGTTAAATAATATGTAGTTATTTAACTACATATTCATGTAATGCATAGTAACCACCACCAGATGAGGATAAACGGAACAATTCCTAACTCAAAGTGACATAGTAAATACACATGAACACGACTTTAACTTAGCCTTTTTCTGTTTTGTTAAACTACTAAATCACAAACAACACTGAAAAAGCCCATGATCAGAGCCAAGATTTACCTTTCGTTCCAGGAGGCTGTAGGTTGTCTCCGGTGAGCGCGCACCAGCCCACAGGGAAGATGTCCCGTGAGTCATAGCGGCAGTAATAGTCAAAGGCTCCTCTCCAGCCGTCAAAGGTGACCAGCACCTCCACGCCGCGCAGTGCACCCACCGTGGCTGGACAGATGAAGTGTGGATTCTTGCGGTCCACTGCCTCCAGCTTCATGCCCAATTGGAACAGGTTCTGCTCTGGAGTGGGAGGCTCCTGCTGGGGAAAACCAGACCGGGAATGGTGTAAGGTCCAATCAGTCGCCTCAGAAATACATGCTCCGCTCAAGCCATCGCACTGCTATGATGTGTACAATCTGAATACAAGAAATAGCCTACCTTTGTGCTTATTGTTATAGAATAATTTTGAAATGGACATCAAATCAAAAAAGAAGCTATAATAAGACGTCAGTGGAGGATCTAGCTGCAGATGGGTGTTTATCTAGTGTTAATAAAGTGTATAGATGTCTGCAAAACAATATATCCTTTTAGCCGTTCATAAATAGTGCACAGGAAAGAGGAGTGTATATAAGTTTGTACTATAGAGGGCGTGTGATTTGGTCGGCTAAGACTGCTCATAAGATCAGGCTCATAGGGGTTCTCTCTCGCAATAATTTGTGTATCAAAACGTGTAGTGAGGCTTAAGTGAAGGAACACAACCCTGAAAGCTCTGAAGTACCTTGTGGAAAATGCGGAAAGGTGCCATCTCTGCTCCATTTAGCGTTTTCAGAAGAAACATGGGCCATGAAGAGGCATTCAGCCGAAAACCTGTGGGTAGAATGATGATTAACAAATACAATTTCGGACCTAATTAATCTTGTTATAAACTTATCTTTCTCTTCCCCATAATACATGTTCATTGGTTGTACTATTCTGCTTTAGAGGCTTCAGTGCATAGAACATTTACCTTTCTCTACTTTTTATAATTTAACATATTTGGTTCAAAAATAATAGCCATCTTTCAATATTAAAACAGATAATATTTGTTTCATATATTTGTATTGTTCTGTCGTCCCCTGTCCATTTCTCAGCGATAAACTCTGCAGAGCGTGCCGACGTATGCTCACACAAACACAGAGTGGATGCATAGTTTTCTATTTTTACTATTATTAACAAAAACATGAAATAACTCGTCACATGTTCTACATTTTGTGTTTAGACCAATTACATTGGTCTAAACACAACGCGAGGACAGACGGGTCACAGAGTCTCCTAAACCCATCAGAGTACCAGTAACTCCTCTTTAGCCCCTCATGCTGTTACTACCACATTATTGTTTCCTATTAATGTTAATGCATTTGTTTATAATCCCATCTACAAAAGTAAGTCACCTTTTCTGATTTTTGGCACAGCCGTACAGTTATGAAGTGGATTTGTAGAAAATGTATATATTCTCCTTGAATGAAAGAATGACTATAATATGGGATTAGGCCACATTGGAGATTATAAAATATAAAACATTGTGGCTATAGTTGTTACCGAGGGGAGGCTGCAGCATGCCTCCACTCTTCTCGCAGCTGCCGATTGGTTGGATCTCAGAAGAATCCGCCAGGCGCCAGAAGTCATTCTTGTTGTCAGAGCCGTCCAGGCGCAGACGCAGACGTGACCCTGTCAAACCCACCACTGTGGCGATACATGTGGAGGTGGTGTTCCGCGGGTCCTGCGCCTCCAGCTTCATCCCTGCCTTGAATTCATTGACTGGAGGAGTAAGGCTCTGTCGGCAGCACAGAGGAGTAAAGAACAGCTCTCTGAAAAGTGAGACATGTTGCATCACACCTCACCTGTTTGAAGCAGGATGCAGGTGCTGCCACGGCACCAGTCTCTTTCAAATATTTATCCCAGCTGAAGTGACCTTAGAAAAAGATTGACAGCAAAGAGGCATGCACATTAATACACTCAAGTTATGATCAAATAAAACACATTGAAAACCATTTCAATCAGTTGTGAAAAGACATGATTGTAACTTACCTTGATACTGTGGGGGCAGTCGGGAGGGTCGTCCACTTCTGGGATGTTTAATTTGTCTGACATCGTGCCACTCTAATGCTGCAGGAAAGTGGAGGAAAGAACTTACAGCATTTCTCACAATGGCACAAAGACATGGGTGAGTCCAATACTTAGTTTCAGCTATTTTAGAAACGATCTATTAGAAATGATGGTGGTTTCAACTTCCATCTTATATCAACTAATAAACAATAATACACAATAATACACGATGAGATGGTAAATGAGTTTTGTATTAAAAGCAGTGATTGGACAATAACACTTTTGTCAAAACCTTGTGTAGACCTTTGTATATTTATATAAAAATATACAATTACATTATTTTCGTAGTAGAGATATCTTTGTCAAAATTATATGCAAAACAAAGTGTATGTGAAGCTCCTGTTGGACAGTCTTATACGCTAGATAATAATTCAAAACTATCCTATAGTTCATCTCACAGCACCTACATATGTGAGTCTGTAAATAGAGCAGTTAACAATTAATTAATTGATTACTAAAACACAATAGTAAAATATAAACTTGCTCATTTAATTAAAATAAAATATAGTTTGGTTTAAACAACAAAGGGATATAGTCAATCACTATGATCAATAACAACATTATTACCTTTCTGTGACACTGGCTTCTTCATGCTCCAGTTCACTTTAGCTGAAGTCCTTTTTCTGAGACAATGAGACACAAACACATGTTTTCAGTCCTGTGTAGAAACAAATTCAATATAAACTTTGCTTCTCATTATTGTTGTCATTCAAAGTAAAAATATTAACATTTTCACAAAAGTTCCGAACACAAAATTTAAACAAGAAAACATGACTTACAGTTGTGGGCTTATACAGTGGCCATCAGACGTTTATTATACATAGCAATGTTTAAAGTAGCTTAAAGTTTAGGTTGTTACAGCCCTAAGCAAGAAGCAGAGGACTGTATTTGTAATATCATATAAAATACATCATATGGACATGGTATGTTTTACTCATGTCTCAATAATCATAACATTTTGACATATATATGACATCAGTACATATTCTCCAGGCTTTAGCGTGAGCTGCAGCAAGTTAATAACAAGTCTGATTGGGATAGTCAGTGTTTTCAAATGACCTATTATTTAAAAAATGTGTGTTGCATAACTATTAGATATTAAAACCGGCTTACAGTGATTAAGTATTTGTGCTACATCAAAAAAGACCCAGTCCATCACACAATAAATTAATTAATGCAACGTAAATATCATACTTTTGGACCCTGATAATATTCAATGCTAAATGTCTATTATGCGTTATATGTATATTAGACATGTTAAGACTGTGTATGCATGCCTTTATAGATATTGTTTACTTGTTTGAAACGTGTTTGCACCATATACCAAAGCAAAATCCTAGTTTGTGACTTCCTGTTACTTACAATAACAAAACAAATGATTGGTTTGTGTAAGCCCTCAGTCGTACAGGGATTAGTCAAAGCAAAGGAAGGTTTCTCACCCATCATCTGTACTTCTTAGCAAGTTTTCCCGACGAATGATTGTGATTCTGATTCAAACAAAACGGTGTAGTTAACTTTGCTTAATTAAAGTCAAGCTTAAGCGCGAAATGAGACCCTTAAAAACAGCGAAGTCAGAGAAATCCCGTTATTCTGGACGTAAACAGGACTTCTGTGATTCCAACGTGAAGCTTGCACACATAATAGACCCATGGCATACATACCTCTCACGGCTGCATCGCACTCCACAGGTCTTAATCGTGGATGTGGTGGATTTGATCAGTTCAAAGCCATAACGTCGGCGTGTTTCCTTTCAGAAAAGCGCCTTTTTCCTCCGCCAAAGGGGGCTGGCGTCTGAGTTAAAGCGACCCACTCACAGCGGTCATCCTGGGGGGAAAGGCACAGGTTCTGTCAGAGTCCACTTCAGGCTACCGCTGGAAGAAATCCAAATGAGAAATGACCCGTAGAGACCGGGATTAGACCATTATTATTATTGATGCATTATTGTTATGGACGCACGTGTGTTTAGTTCAGGAAGCAGATCCATCACTGAACGATTCGATCCGTACACAATGTCCACGCCTCAGTGCTAAAAGACCAGAACCAGCCCCACAGAAAGCAAACGAACCTACAGCTCAGGTACCGGTGCTGATAGATGATTGAGAAGCAGGCATCGCTGTCAGCACTAGCAGCTGCACATCACACATGCCTCACACAAGAAGCTAGCTTAGCATGCTAGCTGCTTGTTGTAAATATCATTTTAAAATCCACTTCCCCAAATTGATGGAATTTGTTATCAAAACCCGGCTCGGTGGTACAGATGTAGTAGAATATGGTTACCTTGGTAGGTTAATCGTGTTTGTTTCGGATACTCGTCGCCATGTTTTGTGCCCAGTGCCTGTCAGCCTCCGCTTGGGTCGTCTACGGTCCAGAGGAAGATTGGCTTTTGGTGACCTCTGGCGGTCAGAAGTATCATCACACCTCATTCTCTCCAAAGAGTAATTTATGTAGCAAAAAAGCAGCCAGTAACAGGATTCACCTTTAAGTTGTGACTGTGACAAAACATATAAATGTATTTGTCTTATATTTTATTTTACTATTTTATATTTTATTAGTTATTTTGTTTTTGTATTTGTACTTGATCAATAATGATTATGCATGATTTGCTTTCAATTACACCAAAAGGTCAAATGACTTCACTTGGATATTTGTGGAGCTAAATGTGCAATAACTTCCGAAGTTCAGCTTAAGGAGTTCAGGCTCTAGATCCACACACGCAAGTAATCTGTGTTTTGTCATAGAGCTGGAGCACAATTGTGTGCTACAGGTGCTGAGGTGTACGTAGGGTTAAACCAGATGGGTTTCACCAATGAAACTGGCACCCCAAATGAGAGTCGTTCTGCTATCTGATTGGATGATCAGAATAATAATAATATGACGAACCTTTTAAGTATGTGAGAGGGCATCTGAAGCAAATTCAGTTTTTTTTGTTTCCCACAAAACATTTCGTAATTTCCCTCTCTGCACTCATACTCTGCTTTGCCGGGGTATAAGCGCTAAATTATGTAATCATGTAATCATGATTGTCTCAAGAGTTGTATGTGCTGATTCATGTAGTGTCAGATGTCATGTCATGTCATGTCATCAACCTCTGTTTTGTCTGTTTCAGTCTCTTCAGATTTAAGTACCCTTTAGGGGTATTACACAATTTGGATTAGTATAATACAGAGTGCAACACTGGTGAAAAACAATAAAAAACTCTCTTACAGGACTTTCCTTTTTAAATACATAGCCAAGGTGTTTAATGTGCACAAGATCCAAGGCACACTGATGATACACCCAAACCCCCCCCAAAAACCCTCAAAATAACAAGAAGAAGGATACCATTTAGCAATTGAATTCTGTTTGAACTTGTACTTTTTAGCACTAAAGTGCCACAGGTCGCGTGTGCTAAAGTGCTACAGTAAAAGCGAGAAACTAAAATGTATTCCAAAAAAGTGAAGTATTATTAAACACACTTTTGATCAAAAAGGCTGAAAAAAATACCATACTGAACAATTTAGTCTTCATACACCCGGCTCAATAAATTCTGAAATGATACCCATAAATTGTGTAGGTGTGAAAATTAGGAATGGGGGCCATTTGGTAATGCCATGCCAATTAGATATGGATAGCAACTGTAACTATGTGATTTGGAAAAACACCCAGCAGTTCAATTGTGTGTAATGGTCACCTGGCAGCAGTGCTAATGCCCATTTCAGCCTACGCTGGGCAGACCATGGCCCAGTGGCCCTCTGCACCCCAGGCAATTATGTTTGGTTTCACACGGTGAAAAGGGTTAATTGGCAGCGCCCACGCGCCTGATTGGACCTGTTTCACGCCTGTCGGCCTTCATCGCATCAAAGGAAGCTCCAGTCCACCAGGCACCATTATTAGTGCGCTCACAAACACACAGACACACCTCATGGGCAGAACTGTAAAGGGCACTGTTCCTAAATGGGGTTTTCACAATTATAATCACAAGATGAAACAACAATCAGGGAGAGAAAAAATCGGTGCTAGTATGCAGCTGCTCACAGACTAGTTGAAAGTAAATGATGCATAGAATTATTTAATTGAAACCCGTTAATAAAATGTGCCATACTGTATATTATAGTCTCAACGTTGAGTCGAGCTGTTTGTATTTCTCTGTCTGGCCACAAGGGGTCAGTGTTGATATACAAAAGGCTCGGATTGTCCTGTCACTCATTTCCAACTTCTCCACATTCATGTCATTATAATACATTCATGATTTCCTCCGAATGCAGCACAGTACTTATGCTGCTTATTATCCATCCATTCACCGTCCTCTTAAAGCCCTCAAACTTTTATTCTTTTCAAATAATGAGCACTACTTTTCAACATTCCCCCCCTTTCATGTAAATCGAGGCTGGCTCGTTCTGTTTGTGTGTCGCTCTGAAGAGTCAGACCCACGTGCTGTGGTGAGTCTGTATATTCTGTGTGGCAGTTTGTTTTTGCAGGGTGTCTCTCTGTGGTCACACTTTTAAATTAGAATTTAACCACAGAGCAACCAGCAGCCAAGACTGACCATCAACTATTGTGCAAACCACTTTTAGAGGCCCAAGACAAAAGCAAAGACCAGAATATTTACTATGCAGTATTGTCTTGTTAATATGTCTTTGGTGCAAAGATTGTGATTTTCGCGCCATCTTAAACAATGTTTTGCAGAATACAGATATCCAAGTGCATACAAATAAGCAGCACTTCAAAGAGGTAAATATTGAAAATGTACCATATGCAGCCTGCGACTCTATGATAAATACAAATATGTAAAAAGGTAGGCATCACTGATGGGAAAGGCAAGATAAACCTCGTCTGATTTTCCCTTGGAGTTGAGATGCACTCCGAAAGGGCTGGCTAAAAGCTTATGCTACACTCTGGGTAATACATGCAAATCAATTTATACAAACTGCAGTGCTTGATTTGCAGATGCAAATGCCTTTGATAGCTGTCATCAGAAGGAATTTCAAAGGTGATTTTCTGTTATCTTGTTAGTGGAGGTTCACAGCCACACATTTAAACCTATAAATACAGTACAGTTTTGGGAATCCATCTGTGGATTTGTAAAAGGAAGATCTCACATTAGTTCTTTCTGGCAGCAGAGTCCAGCGCTGGTTTGTTGGGTTGGTTGTCTTTGCTCTTTTCGTTTTATCACTCTAATTGAATCTGGCTCATGTTGCTGGCGAAACAGTTTTTTGGATCTACAGACATAAAGCTGGAGGTGTCTGCTACCTGCAAATTGAAGCACTTCACTGCCACTGGGCTTTTTCAGCATCAGACAAAGCTGCGAAGGATGTTCTCGCAGCTACAGCTCTGGTTACAAGATTCTCTCTGGAAAAAGTGGTCATTGAAGCGGATATTATGCCCACATTCTCACATTCACCTGCGGAGGTAGTTATGGTGAAAAGCAGAAGTGATGTTACATAAAGGAACATTCCTGAACTGTCCTGGTGCTGACCCGAGCTCCAGTAACTGCTTCTTGTCGTAGATGGATAGGACTTGTTCTTGCTTTGCTTGTTATTAAACTCCCCTTGGTTTGAAAATATAAGTAATGTTTATTTATATAGCATATTTTTACAGACCAATTCACCCAAAGCGCTTTATAATGTGTTGAAAAAATGAAGCCAAAAAGATACAACTTGAGAACATCTTTTCATTGATTCTGGTCCAAAAGTTGTTTTGAGTTGTTTATTTAATGTACATGTTTATGCATTTGCTTTTTATTCTGCAGTAATTACAGCCATGTTGTAACAAAACCTACTAACAGATAAAAGATGCATCTATTTCTATAAAGTTGACTAAACTAAGCTAATATACTTGATTAAGTAAGTAAGTAATCTTTATGTAGACTACCGTTCAAAAGTTTGGGGTCACATTGAAATGTCCTTATTTTTGAAGGAAAAGCACTGTAGATACTGTATGTAACACAGATGATGCTATGGGTCACATGCTCAAAAATATGTTCTTTTCAATATTAAAAACAATTGATGTTGCAGACATAACCTTTTACCCCTGAATCACAATGAACATTTTTCTAATCATTTTAGATTATGTTTTATAACCAAAACTGGGACTAAAAAGTATGATTTTTTTTTATATACTATAATTCTCAAAAATGATTCGTACAACATATCATTGACAGTGGATGAAGTTGTGAAAAGGATTAACCTGAAGGTAAATCTAATTTGTTCTCAATCATACATCCATGTGTGCAGTGTCAGACATTAAAGCTGGATTAAGTCTGTGCAAAGACGACCATAGTCAAAGACGAGCAGGACACAAACCACTTAGTAATGAACGCCCTCTGAATACTTCATGATATATAAAGTGGGATTGTCTAATGCTCATCTTGGCGTTAAAGGATTCGTTTTTCAGGTACTGGGGTTAAATAAAAAGCTCCAATCAACATGGACTGTCAAGGTGTGGATTTTATTTTTGACATTAGTTCTGTGGTTTTCATCTTTAATTTGACTTCCCGGTTTGATTGTCTGCCCCGCCCTAAAGTGTTTCACCTGTGTCTCTGTCTAAATGTACCTGTGCTCATCCTCCTGTGTCGCTGGTCCATTGTCTTTGTTCGTCTGTTTTCCTGGTTCCTGATTTTTGTTCATATTTTTTGTTTGTTTTTTTGGGGGTTGTTTTTACCTTGGAGTTTCATTTATTTCATTCATTAAATCATTATTTTTATGCATTTCTGCCTTTTGGCCAGTCCCTGTGCTCCTCAGAGTCCAAGTTTATTCACATGGCTCTAACATGTCTTGGATGTGCTTTGGTGCGAGGCCATGGAGAGACTTGTACATATGGCAAATAATAAAATACAAGTAAGATTAGATAAGATGGACTTTTGCTTTGTTTTTCCCAGTCTGGTCTGAAAATATGATTCTCAAAAAAATGAATGCTGCAGTTTACAAGCCTTGGAGTGGAGGGATTAGTTTCGGGTCGGACTGTTTCCGTGGCTTGACATGGTAATGACGAAGAATAGATTTTTTTGGATAAATATTGATTTATTAGTCTGCAATATTGTTTGTTTGTAGTAATACTGATAATGCAATATTTCTTTTTTGTATATATGGTCTTGTAAAGTCCTCCGAGTCAAAGGATTGCTTTAACTCAGTACTTACTTTTACATACATTGTTTAGAGTGGAGGAAAAGTGGAGAGTGACAGATTAGTACAGACAGTTTTCTATGGTTTCATGAAAAGTAAGAGAGTAACTATTATATGATTTTTATTGCTTTTATTACATTGGTTAAATTCAGACGGGCTATAGATCCAGGACTCAGACTGTAGAATGAGGACTGAAGCTGTAGATCCAGAACTCTGTAGAACGAAAACTGGGGCTGTAGATCCAGGACGTAAGCTACAGAACAAAGACCAAGGCCACGGTTTAGAGACAGAGACGCTGTGGAACTTTGTAACACAACACATGAGGCCCAGTAGTAGAACAACTTCCTCAACATCCTCCTCAGGCCGCCGCAACGACGTGAAAGAACCAACATCCTTCTTGATTTAACAGCAGCAGTGAAAATAGAACCCGCCGCCATTGTTGTTTACGTTTGTTCTCGGCGACTGCGCTCGTCCAAATGTATGTGCAGGAAGTGGAGGTCATAGCAGCTGAGATCTCATACCTTTTTCTTCACGCGGCCGTAAGAAAAAGGTGTGAATTCTTCGTCTGCTCTGACCTCCACTTCCCTCAGTACATGCGTTGGACACGCACAGAAGCCGAGATCAAACGTAAACAACAATAGCGGCGGGTACACTAACTAGCTACATGTGCTTCGAGCGCTACACGGAGGAGGATTCCTTTGTCCAAACGAAACCACCCAAAGCTGTAGTTTCAGTTTCCATTTTCACTGCTGCTGTTAAATGCAGAATGATGTTGGCTCTTTCCCGTATCTGCGGCGGCCTGAGGAGGATGTTGTTGAGGAAGTGGTTCTACTGCTGGGCCTAATGCGTGTCGTGTTATAATAAAGTCCCACTGCCCCCTATTGGTCGGACACTAAAACAACATTTTTTCCCGTAGCCATCTGAGCACTGCAGGAACCTGGTCGTTTTTTGCTAATTACTTTGCAGCGTGTCCGCAACGTCTCTGTATAAACAGGGTCTCGATCTCAGCATTTTTAGGATTAGAGTCGAACTGTTCTCTGTCCTGTTTGTCTTCTGCTCGCCCTAAAAGGGATCTTTCCCTGCAGCAATGTTACTGCAAGCTGTTCTTTTCCTTATTTCAAATATATGAAATACTGTATACTGTATGTATATACAAACAAAGGTCTATAAATGAAATTAAATGCAAACAATTAATTTATAGAAGAACCAGATCTTTGTTGTTCTTTTCTCTTTCTACACAAGAAAAAACGAACACCAAAGAGAAAGGACAAAGCAAGAACATCCAGGACCAGAGAATGGTCCTGACCCAAACCTGAGAGAGGTGCTGTCATGTCTAGAACAGGGTCGTTCTGTGGGTCTGTGCCGCTTGTCGATTTGTGCTGCCTCAGCTGTTTTAGATGCGATGCAAACCGGCCGAAGCAAACCAAGTATAAAAGTATAAATACGAACAAATTAAGGCAAATGTGATTTGAGGCAAGATTTTGATTGTTCCATGACGCGATATGTGGGTTTTAAGAGTAAAGTTTGGTTTAAGTAGTAACTGATCCTGTCAATCACACGACTACTCTGTGAGTCCCTTTCCTGTCGAGTTGAACTGCCGCAGACGTAATTTCACTGACATAGCTACAGGACGTGTCATTGGCCTAACTCAACAGCTGTTAGCTTACAATTGGTCTGTCGGGTTGATAATGGAAATAATAAACTAATCTAAGTTCTAGGCTAACAGCTGTTGGGTTAGCCACAGGACGCGTCATCACCGTACGTCAGTGAATTGACCTCTCTGGAGGTTCAGCTCGACAAGAAAGGGACTCACACAGTAGTAGTGTGATTGACAGGAGCAGTTACTTAAACCAAACTTTACACAAACCTTTTACCCACAAATTGCGACATGGCACCCTCAACATCTTGCCTCAAATTGCATTAAGACACAGTCTTAATTCATATTTAAACTTTTTAAACGACACACAGACTTTATGTCCATCATCTTGTTTTGCTTCGCTGCCGTCAGACGCACATGCACAGGTTTGCATTACCTCATAAACAACTGAAACAACTCGACAAGCGGCTCAAACGGACAGAACACCGGTCTTTAAATGGGTTGGTGCTCCTGTAGGTTGGGACTAAAACCTGCAGCCACACCTGCCCTTTCTGGAACCGGTTTGTCACCCCTGCTCTAGAAGTAACATCGGCTTCTTCACGTTGACACGCTAAGACGCCGACAGTTGTGATGATGGCTCACACCTCTGCAGCCGAAACATGTAAACAGAGAGTATTTACTTTGTCCACATGTTTCATCTCTGATCCGTTACGCCGTGCTTACGGAGTGTTGGAGGTTGAACACCCAGCAGCCTGACGAGCTAAACTTTTGGCGGAACGCAAACGATATTCCTCCATTTTGATGGCCCGTTGTGCAGCTGATTTCAGGAGCAAAGATTTATCTATTTAAAAATATTTTTGCTCTTTGCCCTTAATCTCCTGCTGCAAAATCCTAATTTGAGCATTGTTTCGCTCAAGTTGGTGCCGCACCCGATGTCGATGTTCGTGTATCGCCGATTTCAAAAGATCATCCTTTTCCATTTGAAAGTCCTTTTGCCGGCGCTCAATGCTCTGTTTCACAAGCTTATCCCGGGTTTGCCTTCTTTCTTGCTCTTGTTGTTTTTTGAGCACTGCTCTCCTGATTTCATAACCGGCCAATTTCAGGAGCAAATATTTTTCTCGCGCTCCATGTTCTCGCGCTCCATGTTCTCGCGCTCCACGTTCTCGCGCTCCATGTTCTCGCGCTCCATGTTCTCGAGTCTCTGCTCCGAAACAGATTCTTGAATGTTGGAAGGTTCTGCTTTTAGTCCATCCTCAGAACTTACCTCTGGACTCTGCAGCAAGTTCACCTCTGTTTCCTGCTGCGCCTGGCTGTTTTTGTGCCGGCCTATTCTCAACAGGATGTTCTGCTTCTAGTCCATCCTCAGAACTTACCTCTGGACTCTGCAGCAAGTTCACCTCTGTTTCCTGCTGCATCCGGCTGTTTTGTGCCGGCCTATTCTCAACGGGATGTTCTGCTTCAAGTCCATCCTCAGAACTTACCTCTGGACTCTGCAGCAAGTTCACCTCTGTTTCCTGCTGCACCCGGCTGCTTTGTGCCGGTCCATTTGTAATGAAACTTCCCCATCTATCGCGAAAGTCTGCATATTGCTTATTCAAGAGATAATTCCTGGCCTTCTGGAACTTGAGCTCCTTCTGTATAAGTTTTTCCCTTTTGTACCAGGCGTCCTTCTGAAGCCAAAGACCATTTCGCACCTCCAAGTGAAGCAACCTCTCACAGAAGTGCTCTTGGAGCTCATTTAGATCTGGACAGTCTCCTGCCTCCAAAGTTTCCTGAGTGGACACAAGCAACTCATCCCCTCGCTGCATTAGAAAACGATCTTTCTCGAGCCAAACTGCCTCAGCCTCTTTCCAGGGCAGTGCTGTCCCACTATCATCAGCGCCATTGGACTGCTGCTGCAGCTGCCAGGACGTCTCTGATGCTGTATGCTGTCTCTCAGCCTCTCTCCATTTCTCTAGCAAAGCAATAACGCGGGTTATGTCGCTCTGGCTAGCCATGCTTCTGTTAGCCATGGCACTGCGATCCATCAAAGCACACTTACTCTACCTCCATAGTTCCAGTAAAGTCCTCTTGAGGTTCCTGATGGGTCTGGGGTTACTCTTTTCTACTGTTTCTATAACTTGTGATGCAACACTGAAATTTCCCCACTGAATAAAGTATCTCCTAGTCTTAATACCTTCTTACCTCCATACTTACTTCCCCAGGTCCAAAGCAAGGTGTCCAAATCAAAGCGTCCCAAAAGAAAGTCCTTGCTCAAACCTCATAGTCATGACACATAAGCCTATTTTGGAGAATTCTATTCTGACGTCACAAAGAGGTATCCATAGCAACCATGCCTACTGACCTATCTTGGAGGATTCTATATTCTATGGGGTATCCATAGCAACCGAATCCATGGTAACCATAGATGAAAATGTCACTTCCTGTCTCTGTTGTAACCTTGGTAACAACAGTAAGCTTTTTTTTTTTTATTTATATACCGCCTTTTCACTGCACATCGGAGTCTCAAAGCGGTTTACAATTGTTGGGTGGGGGTCGCCAGTACAGGAGGCAAATGCAGTACGCACTAAGCAAGTGCACCTACTTAAAGACCTTATGCAGGGTTTGTATCAATATTGAAATAACGTTTTAATTAGGGCTGTCAAACGATTAATTTTTTTAATTGAGTTAATTACAGCTTAAAAATTAATTAATCGTAATTAATCGCATTTCAAACTATTGGCAAAATTATGCCATATTTTTCTGTAAATTGTTGTTTGAATGGAAAGATAAATGACAGCTTAGTGAACATATGTACTGTATTTGTTTGTTATAACAATAAATCCATATAAAATGGAATTAACATTATTAACATTCTGTCTTTTTGTTTAGACTCAGACCAAAACCATTGTTTGTTACAGATGAGGGACATTTCAAAATAGTCTGAAATGCAGAATGTCATTAAATCTGTTCGATTTGCTCACACCATTACTTTTTTGGCACAACTAACATGAACTGATGGTCGAAAGTAAGTAAGTAAGTTAGTAAGTAAGTAAGTTTTTATTTATATACCGCCTTTTCACTGCAGATCTGAGTCTCAAAGCGGTTTACAATTGTTAATTTGTAAGGAAAATTAGGTACCTCAGCTTTAATTTAGCGACTGAGGCTCCGCAGTCCAGCTTCAGCGCTGTACATATTGTGTGCATCGGTTACGCAAAGACACGTACGCACACTAGAGAATAGTTCTGTAATAGTTCTGTGCGTGGTCTTGGATATGATCCCATTACGCAGCGCCGTTTGCCGTCATCACAGTCGCTGGAAGTGGGAACTGCTGTCCAGAGCGCTGTCGCGCCCGCAGCTCATCATGCAGAGTTCACACAGGAAACAACAAGTGCCCCGCGGTCACGCGTGTATTCTTTCAAAACTTGAATTCCCAGAGGGCCTACCTGCTCTGTTCCCATCTTACACACGCGCATGTGTCCGCGGCATTCTGAGTGTTATTATGGGACGCATGGGCATGCGTCAAATGTGATATTTTTTTTAACGCGATTAATGAAAAAAAAAAAAAAATTAATTAATTTAATTTTGACAGCCCTAAGAAATATAAAACATATCTTTTACAACAGCGGGCGAAACTGTTTGAATAACAGCTATATTTGGTCAGACTTCAGCAAAAGTCTCAAGGTGGGTTAATGTTGCGTTGTTTAAACACCGCAGCCCGTGTCTGTTATTGTTTATAAGCGGCTTGACCAGTCAGTCTATGCCCCAACCTTCACGATTGATCTTGGGTAATGAACCATACAGCAGACGGAATCGGTCAGAATGAGTGGCTGGCACCCGGGAGCCCCCCGTAGAGCCGATGCTCCCTCGTACCTGATCTGGTGGTTAGCCTCGCTCCGCACCCTCAGCACCTCTTTGCCCTTGTGCTCCAGCTCCCGGGTCAGCGTGTCGATGGTCTCGTTCAGGGAGTGGATCTCGTGGTCCAGGTCCGTGATGCGGTTGCTACGGGAACACACCTCAGACTGCATCTCGGTGAGGCGCATCACCAGCTCCTGCTCCTAAAACCACACAAAAACAGGGACAAGGTGATGTTGTGTTTGGGTTTGTCTGTGTGAAAGATAGGTAAGGAGCTCAATGCAATTACATTTATTTCATTCAACACAAGATATTATGCTTTATGTACAGTAGCTAAGTTAGTAGAGCATTGGTCTTTGAACCTAATAGTCCTGAGTTTGATCCTTCCTCCTTCCACTGAAGTCTGCTTTTATTGTATCCCTGGGCTAGACGCTTAACCTGACTTTGCCTGAAGCACCCACTGAAAGACCAAGCCAGGATCGAATTCCCTCCCTTATCCACCTGCAGAGGATCAGTGAGGGTCTGGTGCTTTAAGACTTTGATGGAAGCTTGTATTACCACCTGACCCAGACTGAAAAAGGGGATGAAGATGAATTAATGCATGAATGATGCTTTATTGGTTTTCATTTGAGCCCTCAAACATTGAAAGGGAACAAAGACCAAAATCCTTTACGTTTGGACCCCTCAAAGTAATGTCAAGTGGTGTCAGATGATAATAATGAGAAGAAAATCACATGATAGTCACATGGCAAGATTCAAGTGAGAAAAACATTTGAAAAAGGTGACATTATTAAAACTACAAAAACGACCATGTGGTGATAAATACTATCTATATATCTATTGGGCGGCACGGTGGCTGAGTGGATAGCACTCTCGCCTCTCAGCAAGAAGGTCCTGGATTTGAATCCCGGTCGGACCAGGGCCTTTCTGAGTGGAGTTTGCATGTTCTCCCCGTGTCTGCGTAGGTTTCCTCCGGGTACTCCGGTTTCCCCTACCACTAAACATATGTCCAATAGGCATGTCTGGCATGCCTCTCGTGTACTGGCGACCCCGCTCCCATCTCTGTGTGGAGTGAGAGACAATTGCCCATAATTAACAATTGTAAACCACTTTGAGACTCAGATCTGCAGTGAAAAGGTGGTATATAAATAAAGATTACTTACTTACTTACTACTTACTTATATCTATAGGAAAAGCAAATCAGGAGTACCATATATATATTTGTTCTCTCGTACAGAAAAAAACGCATGTAATGGGGGCCCCCTTGTGGTCAACACTCACACACACACATTCACACTACATGACTACGATTTTAAGTTTGCTCTCTACTGCATGTTTTAAAATGTGAAAGTAGAAAACATGCTTCTATAACAGATGGTCACTATAGAAGAGGGAAATGATGTTGTATAAAACTGTCGATCTCTTTTGAACATTGAGAGCTCAAGTTCTCTTTCATGTGGAGCAATACTGTCAAGATTATAATCATAGTCATTAGAGCAAAGTAAATAGGGCACCAAACAGCAGCATAAGTGGGTCAAACTCGCTCACACGCACTTGGCAGAGCAGTACAGAATATATACTAAACTCATATAAACTCATTTACAAACAGGGACTTCAGTCACTTTTCCTTCTTTTACTTCTTTTCTTCCCCTCAATCCATTTCTGGGTCGGGGGGTACAGCCCCCCTCACTGATCCTCCTGCAGGTGGTGAGTCCACAGGAGCGTTGATCTTCCAGCAGGGGCTTCAGGCAAAGTGGGGTTAAGCGTCTTGCCCAAGGACACAAACGACAGCAGACATCAGTGGGAGTCAGGAAGTAGGTCTAGTGGTGGGCTCGAACCCACGACCTTCGGGCACAAAGGCCAATGCTCTACCAACTGAACCTGTCGCCCCGACTCAATTTACTGATTCAATTAACTTTATTTGTTGGGTAGCATATTATTAACCAACGCAGGATATAAAGTACTATGATAAGAAACACAAGGGAGCCATTGGTGTGTATGAAGTCAATAACAGTTATGGTGGGGGGAGTATCATGCTGTGGGGCTGCCTTTCTTCAGCAGGCAAAGGCAAGACTGTAGGAAATGTATGGCAGGTACAGATGGAGTCAAATACAGGGCAAGTCAAATTATTTAAAATGGCTGAGCTAAAAATAAAGCCAGAGCTACAATGGTTTAAACACAAAATAAATGGATGGGTTGGAATGGCCCAAAGCCTAGTCCTAAATCCGAGCGAAAGTCTTAAAACTGTGCTCACAAAGTCTCTCCGTCTAGTCTGACAGACTCTGAACTGAGGGTTGTCGGTTTGAATCCTGCTTCAGACATAAAATATCATTGATGCCTAACAGTCCAATCAACTTTCAAGCGTGAAACCAGTTCCTAATGGTGAATTCTGCTGTGTGTCCTTGGGCAAGACACTCAGCCGTCCTCACTCGTAGTGTTTGTGAATGTGTGTGAGTGAGCAGGTGGTTGGTTCCTATCGGTGAAGTGCCATGAACATTTTTATATTTTACTATTCTGAATGAGCAAATGGGAAAACTTTCAGTTTCTAGATGAGCAACACTTTACTTTTGCAAAATTTAAACTCTAAAGGAAATAAAACAGTTTAGACTTTGTTTTCTGTTTATATCTATGGAGGTATAAATTGTGTGTGTATACTTCTGTTATGTTCTTGGTCTCCAATGTGTATCCAAAAATGTTGCATAGTACTAGTTTTGTTGGATAAAATATCTGGCTTTTAATGATAAAAAAATACTTCAAAATACATACATATAGCTACAGTATGTTCCAATGGTTATTTATCAGTCTTGCAGTAATTTGAAGACTTTTACATGCATTTAGACCAGATTTATCAAAAAATTATCTGGAATATTCTCAAAAATATATCAAAAATATAATTACGCATGCAGTTTTGTCAATATTTCCCAGTTTTCATTGTGTTTCGTGGTAGATGGGTACAGGGTTAAAAAGTGTGTACATTTTTCGGATAATCAAAGAAATTTAAATTACAATATAATGAGCGGTTGTAACCTGTTGTCGGCTGTGCTCAATGGCCTTCTCCAGCTCTCGTTTGGCCACTGTGTGCTCCTTCAGGTGGATCTGCTTCAGGTGCTCGATGGCCGTGGCGTGAATGTGGTTCAGCTCAGCGCGAAGAGAGGCTGAAGACAGAAACACGCCAGAACAGTGTTAAAATGGCACTTCTGTATGATTATATTAAAGCTGGGGTGTCTAGATTTCATCCACAAAGGATTTGATACTAGTTTTGTCGTTCTCAGTCTTTACATTGATGCATGTTCGGCCTCTGTCACAGCTTTAGATCAGCTTTTTCAGACCGAAAAGTGAAGTAGAGAGGACCACCATCACTCAACCAATCAGCTCTCAGCATCAAAACTGTTCACAACATTACACTTTCAGACTCTTTCAGTTACGAAACTATTTCTTACCATAAACAATATTATCTATAATGAAAATACTTACTAGGTCTAAACTAAGACAAGCTAATCATGCATGCTATTTATTTAGCACTTTCCATGACATCCAAAGCATTATTCATTTACTCCATACACAGTGGTGATAAAGTACTCCTGGAGCCACAGCTGCCCTGGGGCACACTGACAACAGCAGCCCCACTGAGCACCCGCAAACATTCACACCAGAATCAGTCAGACAATGTGGCTGAAGGACACAATGACACAGCCGACCCACTGTGGCACCTGCAAGCCCTGCAGATCCAAGATGGCGGCCAATTCAAATCAATGGCTTGTGCTCAGTAGCACATGTGCCACCATGGGCACCGAAAGATTAGCGGAACTCGCCCATATTTGGACAACCTCTGGTCCTCCTGGTTCTGCGCAGTGGACAAGCTCCCATGATGATTTGCGCCAAATATGAGTGTGCGATTCTCAGGCACGTGCAGAGAGGGGCTCGGCGTGTCTTGACCAATCAGAGCTACTGATCAGAGCGGAGTTAGAGCGGGACAGCGACGAAGACAAAGTTCAGGATGACAAGGGACACTAAAATCCCCACAAAATCCAACCTTTATGAAAGCTGTAGATTCTCTGTCAGCTGAGGTCGAGCTGTTTTAGTTTACATTGAGTCCAGTTCTCGGTAGCCCACGTGAATTTAATCTTGTTAAGTCTGCAGTACTGTGAGAATCCTCCGAGCGCATCGATCCTTCAGCTCCAAGCTAGTTTTACCCCATCCAAATATTATAGTAGATTCATGGGTACCTTGTGTTACCAGTGATCTCCCATCACAGCACTACCCAGAATCTTCCCTGCTTAGTAAGTACAGTAAGTGAGTAAGCAAATCCATTGTTATGGGCATTTGTCTCTCACTTCAGTGCAGTTTCTATACAGGAGGTGCCAGACCTACTGGACAGTTCAGTAAGATGTAGGGGAAACCAAAGCACCCGGAGTAAACCTACGCAGAAAGGAAACTAAGGTTTTCTCATGAAGGTGGAGACACAAGACTAGACTAAAGCAGGTCTAAACTAGGAGAAAACCTTTTGTCATGATTCAAATCAAGAGAACTAGATTAGTTTGTGTGACTGTGCACTGTGCACAGAGATGTGGACGTCTCAGGACCTGAGTCTCACCCAGTTTGGCTTTGCCCTCGTCCTCCAGCTCGAAGCGCAGAGTCTGCAGCTCCTGGTCGGACTGTTGCCGGAGGATGTCCAGTGTCCGTCTGTGCGCCTCCTTCAGCGCATGCACCTCCTCCCTCTGCTCCTGCTTCAGCCGCTCCTCCAACGCCTGAGCAAAGGGACAATAGATTTAATAATATATTTAAATTACAGTCTTAAAGTCTCTCTTAAAGCAACTTTAAAGAGAGTATAAGTGATTATCACACATTTCAGACCATGTTTATGGACATAGAGTGCAAAATTTTTTATTCAAAATATAAAAAATAAAATAAATAAAATTTCTTGGCAAAAATTTGAAATATATGTAAAGGCTTGAATGGGTTAGGTTCATGTGACATCACAATGGTCTAAAGAGCCTAGTTTCACATTCTGGTGGAAAAATATATGACAAAAGAAACCAGAGAATAGACCAGAGTGAGACCAGAGAGAGACCAGAGAAGCCAGAGAGAAAAAGACCAGAATGAGACAAGAGTGAGACCAGAAAGATGAAAGAGAGACCAGAGAGAGACAAGAGTGAGACCAGAAAGATGAAAGAGAGACCAGAGAGAGACAAGAGAGAGACCAGAGAGAGACCAGAGATACTTATTCCATTGACAAATCTTAAAAATCAACCAAAATCAAGAGACATTTCCCCAAATGCTAGTGACGTTTTTCTTTTCTTTTGTCCCTTTCGGATTGCAAAGAGTTTAATTAATTGCAGTATTTGCTAATTACAACCAAGAAAATAGCAATTTTCCACTTGATTAGGATTCATGACGCAGCCCAGTATTAAAACCAGGAAACTGCATGAGCAGGGGCTCTAAAACCTCAGAATGGAATTTTGTTTGTGTGTGTGTGCGTGTATAAGGGTGTGTGTATGCATGTGTGTAAGTGTGTGTGTATGCATGTGTGTGTAAGAGTGTGTATGTGTGTGTGTGTGTGTGTGTGTGTGTGTGTGTGTGTGTGTGTGTGTGTGTGTGTGTGTGTGTGTGTGTGTATGTATGATTGTTTGTGTGTGTGTACGTGTATAAGGTTGTGTGTATGCATGTTTGTGTAAGAGTGTGTATGTATGCATGTATGTGTGTGTGTGTGTGTGTGTATGTATGTATGATTGTTTGTGTGCGTGTGTGTGTTACCCTGATCTGGTGCTGCCGGGCCTCCTCCATGGTACTGAGGGCGCAGCAGTGAGCCTCCTGCAGCCGGTGCTCTCTCCTCTGGTGCTCCCTCTGCAGCTCTGACAACACAAACACATTCACTCACACACAATCAAACATTTTCACCTTTACAAAAATAAGAAATATTCAAAGCCCTCATTCTCAGTGAGTAATGGCAAACCAAGGGGCTATGTGAACTAGACGAGATGCAGAAACCAAAACTTAAAGATACGTCCGAACAACAAAATGGGCATTTAAAGCTAGGGTACCTAACTTTGACCCCATAAAAAAACAAAAAACAAAAAAAAAAACATGTCAAATCACACTTTTATGTAAGAAAGAGCCATGTGAGTAACGAGTTGAGTCTTTGGGCTTTAAATAAACAATATAAATTAGATGGATGTACAGTACTATTGTAACCTCTCTCTGGTCTCTCTCTCTGGTCTGTCTCTTGTCTCTCTCTCTGGTCTCTCTCCCTGGTGTCCCTCTCTGGTCTCTCTCTAGTCTCTCTCTCTGGTCTCTCTCTCTGGTCTCTCCCTCTAGTCTCTCTCTCTGGTCTCTCCCTCTAGTCTCTCCCTCTAGTCTCTCCCTCTAGTCTCTCTCTCTAGTCTCTCTCTCTGGTCTCTTTCTCTGGTCTCTCTCTCTGGTCTCTCTCTCTGGTCTCTCTCTCTGGTCTCTCTCTCTGGTCTCTCTCTCTGGTCTCTCTCTCTGGTCTCTCTCTCTGGTCTCTCTCTCTGGTCTCTCTCTGGTCTCTCTCTCCTGTCTCTCTCTTTGGTCTCTCTTTGGTCTCTCTCTGGCCTCTCTCTGGTCTCTCTTTGGTCTTCCAGTTAAAATCCCTGTGCTCTTTCCCTCTGGCTGTCAGTCCATTTTAGTCTTCTGTTCCTGTGTATTAAACGCAGTTGAGTTGTTTTTTGGATTCTTGTTTAATATTCAATCATTTTATTTTTTACAGTATTGTATAGAAGGTCCTTCCTCCTTTTTGAAACATGGTACAACAAGCAAACTTTCAATGGTGCAGCGATAAAAGTGAAGCGGGAACTTAGTGTTTTGTTTGCTTCTATCACTAGTTGTCACATGGATCTTGTATGTTGTGGTCTGATTTGTTTACACACATTTAGGGACAAACGCCACGTATTATATAAAGTTAGGTACCACAGCTTTAATCCTGGTTAATCCTGTCTTACACCCTTCAGCAAATTTGTTTCTGTGCACACTACAAACATGTTTTCACGCCAGATCTCACTTACCTTTGAGCTGCTGTGTGAGATGCTCCCTCTCCTGGCTGAACTGAGATTGCAGCTGCTGTAGCGCGGCCTGAGACTGGGACAACTGGAGCTCCAGACTCTGCTTCAGCAACGAGATCTGGAAACACAAAAAAAGTGAGATTTGCCCTTGGATTGGTCCTGGTTTAAGTCTTGTTTTAGTCCTGGTTTATGCAGTGGTTGTTGTCTGGGTTTGGTGCTTATTTAAGAGCTAGCACTTAGTTTTGCTCCATTTTGTTTGAGCTTTATGTAGTTTACTCAGGTAGCCATCTTGCTCTGCCTTTATCACTAGTTTTCACATCTACGTATTTTTGGCCTCTGTCACATCTTTAGATCAGCTTTTTCAGACAGAGAAGTGAAAAAGACAATCACCTCTCAGCCCAAAGCGTCAAATAATGACTCAAAGGGCTCTTTATTATGTTTTCTAATAAGACAAATACAGCGTATTGTGGTCTGACTTGTTCACAACATTTAGCTTTTACAAGACTAAAGAAAGACCACAGAGAACAGTGAGAGATCAGAGAGAGACCAGAGAGAGACCAGAGACCTGAGAGAGACAAGGGAGAGAGACCAGAGAGAGACCTGAGACCCCGGAGAGAGATAGAGAAAGAACGAAAGAAAGAACCGAGAGAGACCGGGAGAGATCAGAGAAAGACTTGAGACCCCAAAGAGAGATAGAGAAAGAACGAAAGAAAGAACCAAGAGAGACCGGGAGAGATCAGAGAGAGACCTGAGACCCCAGAGAGAGAAAGAGAAAAAGCACAAGAAAGTACAGAGAGAGACCAGAGAAGGATTGTTTTTGCTGGGACAAACAACATGTGAGTAATACGTAAGTTAACCCAATATGCATTGATTTGAAAGATTTTGTGGTCTGTCATTTTCTTGATGAATCCAGCTTTAATCTTCCTGCAGCTCTAGTAAAGATTTTTTTCTTTTTAGTTTTAGTGCGGTTCTGCCTCATTGAGCACACAAGCTATAAAAGTAACAGTTTGTTATGTTGTGTAACTATGCATTAGCATTTGTAGCAAGCTTAGTGAGAATGTGTCTCTTTAAAACCAGCAGGAAGACTTAAGCTTTCAGTTAATCAGGTCAGCATAGACACTTCCCACAGCCACTGCAGTTTAAGTTTGCTGCATTTAAATCCTCTGATAATAAAAAGCAACCATAATGTGGCAGGATAGATTTCATATATCTGTGTCTTAGGAGAACGGGATTTGTCATGTGACACACAATATTTATCTACAATAGCTCTAATAAGGTCCAATTATTTCTCGTACAAAACTGTAGAAATGAAAAAGTCCAGTGTTGTTGTGGCGGGGAATCGGTTTTCAGATTCAACAATACATTTTTGAATCAACCACAAACACTGCAAAAGGGGAGAAAAAAGTAAAAAATGGCTTGAATTATGCATTATGTAAACTCATGTTGACTGCCTTAAAACAAGAGGTGGCTGTTATTCTGCTAAATCAGAGGTTTTGCAAAAGAGATCATTCTCACCTCTGAAACTTAATAAAATATGCATTATTATTAGTCAAAATGCGGCTTGATTAGTAATTGAATTTCAAATGTTGATCTTTTTACTATGTGACAATATTGTAACACACACAAGCAAACTCATATACAGCCATGAACGCGTGCACACTCACACACACACACACACATACACACACTAAATCTAACGTTATGTAATCCAAGCAAGGAGTTCTTCCTTGAGACCGTAATGATGGGACATTATCTCTGTGTTTATGAATACTTTTTCCACAAAAAGCCCATTATAATACATGAAACACAATCATTTTAAAAGATGTGATCCCTAATTTAAAAAAAAAAAAAAAATGGAAACGTAAAAAAAATTAAATAAAATCCATCCATTCCTTGTCTCTCAAAACAGTTTGCTTCTGTCACTAGTTTTCATGCCTCTGTCACGTCGTTAGATCAGCTTTTTAGACAGAAAAGAGACAAAGAGAAGACCACCCTCATCAGCTGCCAGCCCAAAGCGTCAAAATGTGACTCACAGGGTTTTTTCTTGCACAAAAGACTTAAAAAAATGTATAATGTACCTCAGCTTTAAGAGCCAGAGAAATAAAACAACAGGAGCTAGATCAGCCCCAATGGAGTGCTCTCTTTCAGGGCCACTTTGACTTGAACTGGGAGCCGTGGCAACAGTCTGATTGACAGCCGATTTAAAGCCAGTGTCCAAAAAAAAAAATGGACCCAATCTATCAGTCAGCTGCACACGGCCCCCAGACACACGCCTTCCTTTGATTCCACAGAATACATGATATTATCGAACGTTATAATTACACTGTATTGTGTTTCTTTAATTACTTTATGAGACTCAGACAACGACAGAACAATGTTGTCTATTATTACTGTTTGTAAATTCAAATTAAACTAAAAAAAAAGAGGGTTGAATAAATAACTTTTGTGGTTACATTACGTGATGGAAGCTAACGGAGACCAGTCCAGTCCATGCCATTCAAAACACACACACACACATACACCTAAAACACACACCTAAACACACACACACACACACACCTAAACACACGCAAGCACACAGAGACACATAAAAACACAAACACACAGATGTACACACATGCAAAAACAGACAAACACACAGATGTACACACATGCAAAAACAGACAAACACACACACTCACACACACACACACACACACATAAAACAAAAAAAACACACACACACATATCCACACACGCACATGTCCACACACACACATGCACAGACACATAAAATACAAACACACAGATGTACACACATGCAAACACAAACACACACAATCGCACACAGACACAAGGGCACACGCACATGCACAAATGCAGACACAATCACATACAGACATACAAACACACACACACACACACACACACACACACAAATAAACAAACGCACACGCACATGTCCACACACAAACGTCCACACTCGCGCACACATCCGCACACATACACATCCACACACACATCCACACACACACACACATCCACACACACACACACACACACACCCACACACACAGACATACACGGACAAACGCAGACACACACAGAACTAGTTTTAGCTCAAGTGACGTTCAATTCAGTGACTTATGGCACAAATTATCACAAATATCTACCACCAGAGGGCGACGTAGTATTCGATATATTTAGTTTCAAATTCAAAAACTGCAGTCCGACAAAGTACAGGATAGTATAGCACAGTTCAGTACAGAAGGGCCAAACTGTAATGTAATGTTTGGAGTGCCACTACTCGAATACGTCTAAGAGCTGCAGTGTTAAGTATGTGACATCAATCTTAAATGTCTACAATTTCTTTCTAATCATAAACGCAGCGTTGGTGGTTTCACAATCTCAAAAATGAATCTAGTTATAAAGAGATTTATCTCCGGGCTCAGGTGCTTTTTTTCCGGTCTATCAAGAGCAATTAAAGATGTGACTGCAGGGACATGAGTAATGAGAGATTTTGCTTTTTTATACAGAAAATAATGATCTACTCTCTCTGAACTAACAAGTATGAGACTGAATGATGTCGAAAGAATTCAGTTTTTCCAATAAAGAAAGCCTCGAGGTAAGACTACATCCACCAACGCACAGATAATAACATTTTGCTTATGTTATATCGCAAGAGTCTTTCACAAGCAGACGTCTCAAGATGAAGCTGAAGTATTGAGTTTGTGTCTGCTATTCAAATGGTGACCTCTATCAAGATGGGGTTAGGAATTGCCCCATGCATAATTCATAGCATCGAGGAGGTCTGTCAATACAATCGCAGGGTGAAGTCTAGGGAGGTAAATATTTGATAGAGGAGGGGGAGGGTTCATGATAACATTCCTGTATTAGTCCTGGTTTAAATCCTTGAGACCTGGTTCTGGTTTAAGATCAGTTTAGTCTTGTTTGTAGACTTGGTTCAGTCCTGTCTCTGTATAGTTATAGTGCTACTTTAATCCTGGTCTTGTCCTTTTCTAAGTGAGGTTCTAGTCCTGCATTAGTCATGAATTAGACCTGCTTTAGTCTCTGTTTTAGTCCTGCTCTGGTCCTGCTCTGGTCCTGCTTTTGTCTCAGGTTTAGTCTCGGCTTTAGTCCTTTAGTTTTTGTCCTGCCTGCCTCAGTCTCTGCCTCAGTCTCTGCCTCAGTCTCTGCCTCAGTCTCTGCCTCAGTCTCTGCCTCAGTCTCTGCCTCAGTCTCTGCCTCAGTCTCTGCCTCAGTCTCTGCCTCAGTCTCTGCCTCAGTCTCTGCCTCAGTCTCTGCCTCAGTCTCTGCCTCAGTCTCTGCCTCAGTTTCTGCCTCAGTCTCTGCCTCAGTCTCTGCTTCAGTTTCGGCTTCAGTCTCTGCATCGGTTTCGGCTTCAGTCTCTGCCTCAGTCTCTGCTTCAGTCTCTGCCGCAGTCTCTGCCATAGTCTCTGCCACAGTCTCTGCCTCAGTCTCTGCCACAGTCTCTGCCACAGTCTCTGCCACAGTCTCTGCCACAGTCTCTGCCACAGTCTCTGCTTCAGTCCTGGTCTCTTCACCTGCTCCAGTAGATCCTCCACCTTGCGTTGCCAGTTCTCCCTCGCTGCCATCAGGTCCAGTTCCTTCTGCTGCGAGAGCTGGTTCAGCGCGGCCTGTTTGTCCGCCTCATACTCCTCGTTCAACTCATCTTTCAGCAGACGCACCTCCTCTCTGCAAAAACAAAACATTAGAAATCAGAAAGTCATTTAAATATACAGTAGTAAGAATAGTAGAAGTAAGAATTATAGATGAAACGTTATGCAAATTGACCCAAAATTAAACGTTTGAAAAAGAGGCTGGATGGAGCTTTAATAGGCTCCAACCTCTCTCGCAACACACGACAAGACACAGGTCCAAACACTCTCTGACCACACACCTCGCTCCCACTACTCAGTCTGTGCTGAAACCTTAACTCCTCCACATACTTCTTCAGTGCTTCATTTTTGAGCAGCTTGCTTTTAAGTCACCCGTCAAGTTGTTCCACAGAGCGACTCCACACACTGAGACACACATTGATTTTAAAGTAGTTCTAAAAGTAGGCACATAAAAGGTTTGGCTTCCCCTTTTCTTTCATTGAATAGGTTCTTCACACCAGGGTTTTTCAAGCTGTGTGCCGTGGTACGTTAGCGTGCCTTGAGATGTTATTCAGTGTGCCTTGGGAAATGATCCAATATCACCTACTTGGTCAAAATAATGAGGAAAAAAAATAATTTGAAGTCTAAAAACAGTCTTGCACTGTGAAAATAATTACTTTGTTTTGTTAATAAAGGCTGCAAAGTTACATCAGTTTAGCATCAGTTTCAGCAGGTGGTGTGCATTGTGATTTTTTTAAAGGGAAAAGGTGTGCCACAGCTCGAAAAGGTTGGGGAACACTGCTTCACACTATAGTTATTGTCTTTGTTTTTAGCCTTTTGTTAGAACAATAGTAATAAAACAACCATATTGATATCAACATGAAAGGAAAGAAATGATTACATTGAGTTATTTTTATGATAAACAGAGTGAAAATTATTCCATTTTCATCTGTTTGAGTTATGAAAATCTAGCCAGCAGCTCAAACATCTTAAGTTTAGGTGCCAAGGATTCTAGTATAATTACGGCAGCTACTGCAAATGTCACGTATTTGTAAAAGCAGGTCTTGTAGCGTGTGCGTTGGGGATAATTAATGTCACAGTTTGGTTTTGAATAGCAATCAAAGCAGCTATGATAGAGCAGCAAGAGGGTTTTTGTTAATGTCGTCTTTAGCTATAAAAACATCACACAGAGCTTAGTTATTATGTTGTAACCTGTTTGAATATATTCTCAGTAGTAGCACAGCAAGAAAAGGTCGCATTGTGTCTGAGATTACGGAAGAAGTGTCGAGCCGAAGCACAAAAAGCAGTGGATTAAGTGAATGTGAGAGCAATGCATTTATGTCTGATAACTTCTGTACACAGACACAGATCTATATGGACCTGTAGTGACCGATTTAGCGATCGATATATTCAAGGCATTCTGTCGACCTAAAGCACTAATGGCCGTAGCTCTTGCAATGTTTAGTGCAGTAATAGAATTGTAAGAAGCTTAAAATGGATCCCTATACAGTAATAGTAGTGGACAATAGCGACAGTGGACAATAGAGCATTGGCCTTTGAGCCTTAAGTTTGTGGGTTCAAGCCCAACACAAGACCTTCTCCACTGTCTGCTGTTGTTGTGTCCTTGGGCAAGACACTCCAGAAATAGATTATGGGGAAGAAAATGGATAGATGGATGGATGGACAATATACAAAGTGACTTGACTATGATAGATTCCACAAATAAAATAACAATTAGAAATTAAAGTTGCAAGCATAATCTAACGGCCCTTGTTGCATTTCACTAAGAGGGTGGTGCCATCTTAATACAGCTCTCATGGAAGAAACACTGATGATGCAAAATTGTAATAATATGATCTGTGAGAGTGAATATGACCCAAAAATACTGATTTCTCACATTTGAATTCAGCTCAACATATTGTTCAAATAAAGACAAGAATCCTTTTTGCTGAAAGGATCTAGGTAGACATATGTCATGGACTTCATTGGCATGTTCTCCCAATGTGCGTTTAGAGGAATTGGCTGAATCTTCTTCAACATGAGCTCCATGGCCAACCACTCTTTTCTTCTGTGTGTCCAGTTTGCAACAAGCACCTTCAGCTCCTTTATGAGATTTCCCAAAGAAACTTACAATTAAGCATTGTTGTCAAGCATCATTGTGGTTTTTGTTTGTCTTTAGTAGTTCTGACTTAGTTTCCTCTCTTTGCAGGCAGAGAAATTGTCTTTCCAGATGCCATTCTTGGTGTTCAGAGAATCGTTGTGTCTTTGAGTTCAGTAAACTGGCTCAATCTGTTCCTTCAGTTCTTTAGACTCATCGGACAGTGATGTATATACAGTATTCGGGTCTAATTATTAATTGGATTGGGACGTGTGTATTAAAGAACAGCAGTGTAGCTTTGGGCCAATTTCTATCTATCGTTGAATGGATCTTTATAAGAATTTTTGTGTGCAATTTTGTTAAAACTGAGCTGGTCATTACAACAGATGCATTATTTTGGTTTTCTGAAGGTCAAAGCAAACCCACTTAAACCCGCGACACGGCGGACACTGAGGAGAATGTTGTGTACTTTGACTTGGTATAAAACGCTGTGAAACAAACAAAAACGCTTGTTTTCTGCTGAGACATGGTCCCTGACCTCCACATCTTTTGTCAGTTTCTTCCCACAGTTACTCTCACAAACACACTCTACTTCACCCTGAACTTTTGCACATGCTTATAAAGGCACAAAGACTAGGAGAACATGCAAATGCCACACACAAAGTCCTTGCGTGTAGGTAGAATTTATTCCATGACCTTCTTGGTAAACATCTGTGTGCCCCATACTACACTGCATAGAAAGCTAGAATTTCTGCACTTAAAGGTACTGTATGTAGGAGGACTTTGCCCAAATGTTAGGAAAGAACCGCTTTCTCCACTTTTTGAACAACATTCTCTGGTCTTATTTGACGAGCATGTACTGTATAGTAAGTAAGTAAGTAATCTTTATTTATATACCGCCTTTCACGGACCAGAGTCACAAAGCGGTTTACAATAGTGGGTATTTGTCTTCTCACTCAACAGAGATGGGAGCCGGGGCGTCAGTACAGCCACCGTGCCGCCCACAATAGCTCAGAATGATAATTGAGAGGACCAATAGTCTTGATCATTCACCTGGAAGTAGATTATCATCCTACAGTATATACCCAGTTTTGACGGCCATGATGTTGTCTGATTGATTTCTTTAAACCTGGTTCACCTGAGCGCGTCTCTCCACTTCTGGTCCAGATCGTCTGCCATCTTGTCCATCTTCTGCTTCTCCTCCGTTCGGATAGACATGACTCTGGCCTCGTGTTGCTGCTTTTGTGTCTCGATCTCCTCCTGGAAATGAACACAATGAACGACAGTAAAAAAGTCATCCGCTAGAATTTCTAGAGCAGCCGGCAGTTTCTCCTTCATTGTTCTTCTGTCTAATTTGTATTGCGTTCATATTGACAACAGGGGATTGACCAAACTGTAAATAAAAATATCTTTAAACTGTGTTGAATGTCACTTGCACCAGCAACATTCTACAGCATTATTCCTGGATCTACAGCCTCAGTCCTGGATCTTACAGCTAATTACAGATAATTCCACTCGTTCGTTTGTCCAAACGAGACCACGCGAAGCTCTAGGTTCATTTTCCATTTTCACAGCTGCTGTTAAAAGGTAGAATGATGTTGGTGCGTTCTGAGGGTCTGGCACAGGAAGTGAATATACTGCCGAGAGGGGTGCTGGGCACGGGGCTGGGGGTCGTGTGAGTGTTGTAAAGTTTCTCTGCCCACTACTGGCCGGGCGCTAGAACTACACAGTTTTTCAACCTCATGTGAACGCTGAGAAATTTGCATTAGGAGCCTGGTCGTTTCTGTTAATAGCCTGGAAACGTCTATTAGTATAAACAGGGCCTCATGCAGCAGCGAAAGGAATCCAAGATGGCGGACGTAAAGTCCACGAATCTTTTTAAAAGAGTAAATACGAACGAATTAAGACACGGATGTCACTTTTAATGCAATTTGAGGCGAGATGTTGATGGTTCTATGTTGATATATGTGTGTTTTAAGAGTCAAATGTTCCTGTAAAGTTTGGTTGAAGCACTGGTTCAGTGTTCCTGTTTACACACTATGCAGCAGGGTTGCCAGGTTTGGTGGTTCCCGCATTTTTTTTCCCAAGAGACTTGTAGGTATTAAATAAACAGAAAGACAATAAACAGAATCATGATAGCCCAAGTTGATTACATTACGTTTTTAGCCAATTGGAGTATTCTCGCGGATTTTGGGTTGGAAAATCTTGCTGGGATATGGCAACCTATGGGAGCCGTGTGCTTCGATGTGAGTGGTTGAAAACAGACTTCATTCAAGATAACGGACAAGTAGTCTTTCCGATCACATAAAAGGATTTTTTTTACAAGGCCCTGCCTTCTGAAATCCAACCACTATGGCTCAGTACCAGACTCATGTGTGAAGTGCAGCGAACTACATGGGTCTGGCGAGAGTCAGGCTAGGATCTACAGCCTCAGTCCTGAATCTACAGCCTTAGTCCTTGATCTACAGCCTTAGTCCTGGATCTACACAGCCTTAGTCCTGGATCTTCAGCCTCAGCCCTGATTCTACAGCCTCAGTCCTGATTCTATAGCCTCAGTCCTGGATCTACAGCCTCAGTCCTGATTCTATAGCCTTAGTCCTGGATCTACAGCCTCAGTCCTGATTCTACAGCCTCAGTCCTGATTCTACAGCCTCAGTCCTGGATCTACTGTACAGCCTGTTTGTCCATGGGAGCTGTCTTCTCGACATGGGCCTCCTAAAGCTTTAAACTTTAATGAGCAGGTATAATTTCTTAAAAGGGTTGGTTTGGCTGTCTGCCTGTCTGTATTTTTTATTTATTTAACCTTTATCTTACCAGGAGAGTCTCATTGAAATAAGAACCTGTTTTTCAAGATTGTCCTGGACTGTAAGCACTTTCTTAAAGTATAACTAAAAAGGTTTCATTCATTCATTCAAATAGTGATGGGCAACAAGGGGTGGATCTGGAAGCTTTAAAGGAATGTAACGGCACCTCTTGGCAGATGTTGGCGCTCTACGAGTGCTTTCCTGGTCTAGTTTAACAGATTGTGACAAACATTATCAGTCGCCACACACTCTGCCTACAAGCAAGATTAATTATGAAACTGGCATGTAAAAGTAATCACACAATAGATACGTCCCTGCTGTAGCATGACTCCTTCAAAAATATATTAATTTATAAAACGTTTTAAGCTACAGGCGATTCTCTTCGTGAGATCAACTTCATCCACAAAACCCCAGAGGCTCCAGTTGTTCATGAGCTCATTAGAAACCATCGCTCTGACGCATTGGAGATATAAAAAAAAGGTTTAGTTAAAAGGGAAGGACATTTATATAATTGAAGTATAAAACCTGGGGCTATGCATGGGCTGAAATATTAATTAGCCGTATATGCTAAGCAGAAAAATTTGAATTGCTGATGTCTGAAGAAATAAATGTGAGATTGATAAGCCGTGCAGAATACCCATGGCTTCATCAATATTAGCTTAAAGTCCTGGCAGAATAAAAAAAAAAAGGTTGTTGTTTTCACTTAATAGATAATTTGCATTTCATTTGCTTCAATTTATCATGTGGACCAGATTCTTGTGGACCAGATTGGACCATTCAGATATCACGGACCAGATTCATTGTGTTAGATAACTATATCACAATGAAAACTCCTGGTTGCGTCCTTGCTTGGGTCTAGTTTTGGTTTAGCCCTAGCTCAGTCCTGGTTTGTCTCTAAAATAGTAGTTTAGTCCTAGTTTAGCCCTGGTTTAGTAGTTTAGTTCTGGGTTTGTTGTGGTTTAGTCCTGGTTTTTGGTCTTGTACTTTAACAGAAGAATGAGCCATGATCAGTGGGTTTCACTCTAATAACGACATATACTTGTTAAAAGCAGTAGTATTGAGACGAATGCTGTGACAGACGCTGGTTTGTCTCCGTTTCAAGATGATTCACGTCTGTTGGGCTGATCCCGGGGAGAAGCCGTGTTTGAGTGACATGTGGGGGAGGCAGCATTTATCCACACTGAGGAGAGCGTGTCGTATTGTCCATAAACACAGTCTGCATGTTTGTGCAGCTTCAGTGACTCCAGTGATCTGCTGCCACTGCCAGCCCTGCTTTAGTATTTTAGTCCTGGTTTAGTCCAAGTTTAGCACTGGTTTAGCCTAAGTGTAGCCCTGGTTCAGTATTTTGGACCTGGTTTAGTTCTGGGTTAGTCTTGGTTTGGTCCTGATGTGTATTTACTTACAAAATCATACACAACTTTATCAGACGAATGAGCCATGATTGGTGGGTTCACTCTAATAACTACACAGACTTTAGCCCTGATTTAGATCTGGTTAATCCCTGGTTTAGCTCTATTTTAGCCCTGGTTTAGTTTAGGTTAGTCTTGGTTCAGCCCTAGTATAATCCTGGTTTTGTCCTGGTTTTTTTTAAGGTTTTCCCCCCTGGGTTGTTTTTTTTTATTTGTTATTAGCTAGTTTAAGCCAAGATTTATCCCTGGTTT